AGAGGGTCACCTGGCAGGTGCTTGTATGTTCTGTGTGCATATATGTGTGTGTGTGTGTGTGTTTGTGTGTGTATTGTTTGTATGGAGTTGATCTGCTTTGCACATTGCTAACAGAACCTCTTGGCCTCAACTTCCCTTCTTGCATTTTCCATCGTGTTTTTCTATATTGCATTTGTGTATGTCTAAGTGTGTGTGTGTGTGTGTGTGTGTGTGTGTGTGTGTGTGTGTGTGTCAGTCTGACAGCTGGAGTTCCACTCAGCTGGCCTCGCTTTATGCAGTCCTGCTTCAAATAATGAACTCTGTCTCTTCTCAGCAGGAGCCATTTTAGCTCAAGAGCCCACAACTCACAGGAGCGGGCACCACTTAGCATGTTAGCGGTGTGCGGACATGCTAACATTCAGTCTGACTGTACAACAAAGCCGCGACAAACCCTGCAATTACCTCCCAGTCTTTAAAGATATGTAAAATGATATTAAAACAGTTTGCAGCCTTTTTTCTTCCTAAACTTTTATAGCGACAATCGACCAATAAGCCTCCCTGCATCTGCTCCTTTTTTTTTTTTTCCTCAAGGGAAGATTTGGCACCTCACTGTAAAGCCCAGCAACAAAATTACCTCAGCCTAAACCTGTCAACAGACCATTACAGCCCACGCTGACTATTATGGGCTGGGGAAAATAAGAACCAAAGCCATTGTAGCGCAAAGGTGTTGGCAGATATAGGCCGGAGGAATGTGGCAACAGGGATATTTGTTGGCCGTGTGCGAGAGAGCCCATGCTTCTTAAAACACGGGTAAATCTGCAGATGCTTATCAGCTCGCCTGTGAAAGCGTGGCGATGCCAGGGCATCAATATGGAATCAGTTTGGATGGAAAGAATAAAATAAAAAAAAAAACAGGGTGATAATTCAGAACTTGAACAATGTAAAAACAGAAAGGAATTTAAGACAGTTGTGTTGATTGCAGAGCTTTCAGTGGACTAATAAATCCTTCACAAGAGGTGTTTTATTCTGGCACTGCCTCCACCCCAAAGCAATGATTTACGTTATAATAACAAGACGTTGGTTGACGTCTCCTCATTCGTTATCACTGTTTCGTCTGAGTAACTCTGACCCTTACATGACTTATTTTCCTTGGAAATAATCTGATGAACTACTTGTAAATTACTTGGATTTGACTGTCAACTAAATATATAATTATCACCTCAGGTGACAGGTAAAAATGCCTTTTAGCCTCAATGTGAGCATGAACGTTATTAAAAGTGGAGGTGTGGTGATAGCACATTAAATGCAATAATAATAACACAGAAATTAAGTAATAAATAACAGAGATAATTGAAGAGAATGTGGTTGTTAGTTTCCTTTTCTTTTTTTTACTTTAGCCGTTTTCACACATGAAAATGTCCAATGTGATTCTAGCTTCAATCCTACAGTTCACTCTCCTTTCCAGGAAGAAATTATCTTCATAGAAAAGTGAGGCAATGATTAATAATGGTTACAGAGAAAAAACACAAGTAACTGACCTCACAGAGGTTTTTCTCAGAACTCGCCTGAACTCTCTACTTCATCACCGGCCTTCGTGCAGAGGAAGGAAGAGTCAGGGAATTTGGCAACTCCCCTCTCGGCTCCCCCGCCTCCCAGTGGTGAGGGCAGTCATACCTGGGGGCCCATGAATGGAGCCCTCAGGTAAAGCACTGTTGAAACAAATCTAAAGCTGCCTAATGACACGCACCGTGAAACTCTTCACAGGTCATTTACGCTGCTGACAGGCTGCTGCCACAGTGCTGCACACCTCCTCCTCTCACTGTGTGTGTGTGTGTGAGAGAGAGAGAGAGAGAGAGAGAGAGGGACAGACAAACAGACGATCGAGAGAAAGCCAAACTTAGAAAAGAGTGGGGGGGAGGGGGGAAGCTGATGTATGTGTGATATGTATTAGTCATATACACTGGGAGGTAATCTGTAAGCTATGAAAACAGCGTTCAGCCTTTCTGCAGCACGGCCTCACAGCATGGGAAAGCGATTAGAGATGTTATCTCCAGCGGCTGCTCTGCACTCTTTGCTTGAGGAGGCAATAGCTGCCCCGGCTCCGATTTCTTAAGAAGTCTAATTTATGTTCGCTGTTCTTGGAGCATGTTTGCAGAACATTGGATGTATCCTTAGAATTTTTTTTGGCTCATATCAATCTGCTGCAAACGTATTGGTAATCCAGCTCGGTAGTATGCCTTCAGGTGCCATTACTCACTTCCGCCACTTCAGCCCCATACTGATATAAGTGCAGAAAGAGGAGGGGGAAAGCAGGGAATGAATTCTAGTCTTACAGTTTCCTATTACAGCATCACTCTGTGTTTCTAGATTCTCAATCCGTCCCCTTACTTTTTACTTTTTCACCAAGGAGCTTATTTCCCTCCCCGTCTGTTTGTTTGTTTCTTGGCAGGATTACACAAATTCAATCAGGAGAGGCTGTGATGGAACAGGTGAAGTAACATTTCTGATTGTCAAGCACGACAAAGAAAGTGATGGTAAGTGTTATACGTATTTGGTATTTAGTCCCCTATGTGATGTCATTAGGATGAGAAGAGGGTGAAGCAGAACATAGACCAGGAACAAAAATACTCTTTTTACTTAGACACCTGTTTAAGGAGGTCAAAGGTCAGGGTCTGAGCTCTGCCCTAATTAAGATTAATGAGTTTTAAATGTGTACATGAGGAGTAACATGTATTGAATAAAGTCTATCATTAAACATTGTGTGTGAACTTGTGAATGACTGCAGTTTATTTTATTCATAGAAACTTTGAAAGGTCTTTTCAACGATATTATCGAGTTTTCATCAAACAGCTTTTCTCTTCCGTGTGTTGAAGAAGATATTCCAGGTTGTTTTGGTTTTTTTTTACGAACTTTCCCCGACGTATCAGATGACACAACACAAATCTGTCCATCATTCACTCTCCTTTCCCCCCTAAATTGCTACCACACCATCCCGGACCCCTTTCCCAGCTTCAATTAACGTCTCCACACATCAATTTCAGGCTGCAAATTCTCCCCTTTCAAAAAATGAAAACATTCACATAAGAATAGACAGTTTAAAAACAGGTGCCATGGTAACATAATCGTCACTGCAGCAATTACTGCCTTATGCCCGACTAGCAGCCATAAATCATTCTCTCTCCACAAAGAGGACGTTGTGGCGCTGCACTCCTGTCCAATAATCAGAAATTGCTCCGTGTACGGCGTGACGAGCGGGCGCTGAAACGGCCCATTCTTCTGTTTGGCGGACGATATTTCGCTCTCCGTGGCGACATTACAGGGATCCTTCAGCGAGCACGATATTGTACCTGCTCGACACCTGTTAGCTTTAGCCAGGGGTTTCATCAGATAGTTGAAATAAATACTAGTCATCATCATAACCATAATCATAGTCATAAAACTAGGGGCCTTTATGCTGTTGCCAAATTGCCCTGCCATCTGATTTACAGTCAGTCTGGGTGGGGAGGGGAAGCGGATAGGGCAGGGAGGAGGATGGGGCCTATTACGTGCTCAGACTGGGATGAATAGTCAAATATACACACCTGCACACACACACACACACACACACACCTGGGAACTTTCACAGGCATGTAATGGCTGGGGATGGGCTTGAGGGAGGAACAGTGAGGAATTCTCCTGGGATTACAAAGACGGATATTGTGCTGCCCTCACACGCAGTCCAGCAGGTGAGCAGAGTGATAAGGGGCCAGAGGACAAATTAGCCCTCATATTAAAATAATCCCTCATGTCTAATAACAATAATACGCTGCAACCAGGGGCTATGGCACGCTCACAATGGCGGTCCTCTTCAGGCCGCGACTTGTTGAAAACAGATTTGAGTATTTGCGAAATAGGCCCATCGTATCTGCTTGACCTGTCAACAGCCCTGAAATACACGGGGGTCAGAGGAATGGACGCCAGCGACTGCAGCAAGGAGACGGTCTGTGTACTTTCAAAATCCAACCAGATGTTTGACACTAAAGACAATTATGAAGCAAAAAAGACACCGAAAGTCTTTTAAAGGGAAACTCCGTCTATTTTAACTGGTCCTATGAAAATAGCTAGTTTGCAGTTAGAAAAACGATCATGTCATCGTGTTATGATTGATTCAGATTTGCGTTATTTTGACAGGATGAGGACGACTTAACGCCAAATCAGTTTAATTTCTTCTGACGTGCAGTTTGAACAATCAACCCTCTCGTTCTCCAGTGATCGCTCGGTTTCCTGGCGTGTCAGAGATTTTGCTTGGCTCGGTCTCGCAGTCTGAGAAGCTCCACGGTCCGATTTCCCAACATGGCCGCCGTCAAACGCTCAGAGTTAAACTGTAGTGAGCTTGTTTGGATGTTACTGGAGAAGTGTTTCACATGTTGTGGCTAGAACTGCAGTCTCGACTGAGACTGTTGTGATAGAAAACTGATCCCTGCAGCAAAACAGATCATATTGTCGACATATTAGGAGACATCTGTTCTCCATACTTTTCTTTCGTATTGTTTGAATAAATGTTATTAGACATACCATCGCTACTCAGTTGTGTGTGTGTGGATTGTAAGTTACTGCAACAAACCAGATCGATGAAATGTGTCTGTTTTAAGGGCTGTGGGGGGAGGGGGGGGGCTACACAAAAGAATGACCAGATCAGTTTAGTCGAAGTTGAATCTTTATTTCTTTGTTTTGAACTTGGCAGATAGAAGCAAAGAGATCTGTGACTATATCATGGAAACTATGGGACAAGAGTACAGAACATATTACATTTGAAATGGAATGGATTCTTCCTTGTGTCTAAAAATGTACAGGAATTGGAATTTTTTGAATAATCTTCTCTTGCTATATTTTCATGGATCATCAGGTGTACAACAAATTTATCTTTTTGTTGTCACAACAGGTCTCTCATCACCTGATCGAAACATTTGGCTCCATCTTCCTCATTTAAGTCTCATCCTGTGTGAGAATAAAATCACACACAGCTCCATGTTTTTTTTTTGTATTGCTGTTGGATTAACAATTTCTGAAAGGTGCATAGCATGGCTATTACAATAATCTGTGCCAACAGAGGAGGGGGCCATAACACTGCATTTATAACACAAGATTCAGACTGAAGATAAAAAATGTGACCTGCACAAAAAAATACAGAGGAACACAAAAGAAACAAACATGCTTATTTTCATGTATTAAACAGACAGGTCATTAAATCATCTAGTTTAAACAGAAACAGAAGTTTTCGATTGTATTACAACCGTCTCCTTGCAAAGCAAAGCTCCTTTGATTACCAGGTTGTGGAAAAGGCAAAATCTTTAAAAGCAGGCATCAGTAAATGTTTAAGGCACATTATTAATCTGTCTGATTAAACCCAAACAGCAGACGACAGTTACTGCCACGGTTCACATCCTTTTCTGATAGTTAACGTCACATTTTTCATGTCTTGTTAGTTGTTCATTTTGAAATTTGAGCAGTAAAAATGAAGATAAATTTTTTAACGAAAAGACAAAAATGCTTGTTTCTACAATGTGTGCGTACAAAAACAACCCTAAAAAAGTGACCAGTTTTAATCAGTATTAGGGATTAAGTCAAACTCAGTCATGTAAACGATTTTACAAAATGTGAAAGGCTCAGGAAATTTCTTTTCAGCGTCATCGCAGCACCAGATCCGATACTGGCCTTTAACTCACTTCTTACGAAACGTGGATGGACGTCAGCAGCAAAAACATCCAGCAGCTCTGAGTCAACAACAGGCGACTTGGTCTCTCCTGTGTGAGTGCAGAGTCAATCTTCCGAAACCTGGTGACCTAACAGTAAACTATTAACACGAATGAGTTGCGTTAAGGTTTATTACAGGATGATGAGATCCCTTCAGTCAGGGCGGAGCTCCTCTACGGTTTTGGGGCATTCTGCATCCGCTGTCGTCTCCTGGCCAAGGCTTCCTGTTTCTTCCTCTCGATCTCAGTTGCCGAGCACTTTCCTGTCATCTGGCTTGTGACGAAAACTGGAGGGGAGGAAGGAAAGTGAGTTAAAAAAAAAAAAAAAATGAATGGAAACACTGAATATGGTTTCCTTGGAAAAAAAGCTAAGAATTACACCAAAAGAAAAGACCTGAAGAGAAAAAGAGGAAATCTGCCTTAAATCAGACCATGTGTTTTCCTGCTCTGATTGTGAGCAACTGAATTTTAATTTGTTAACACAAAAATGTTGCTACCATAACAAGGAACATTGTGAAACTCATTTGAAAGTACAAATCCTTCAACCCTCCACGTCCAGAAGGAAAAAAAAAAGCAGTCTGCGTTCTCTGGCAATGAAGCTTCCTGAGGTTTGGACTCGACAGCGTCACAAATCAAAGCCGTGGCACAGTGTTTACTTGCTTTGGGGGAGAACTGTTCAAGAGCACATGCACTGAACTGTCACTGATTATAAGATCATCATGTGACATCTGTTTTACGTGACTTTAAACTTCGGTATCCAGTCTTAAAGCACAATACTGAGAATAGATGGAAGATGGAATGGAACACAGAAACTGCAGTTAAAGCAAACATTTACCAAGAGAAGCATATTTATTGCTTTTCTTTAACAAACATGCAACTCATCTTACCTTTGCTGCAGATGGCTGCAGAGTCGGATACATTTCTCTTGAAGGCTGTGTGATAGGACTTGGAGTTCTGCGGTGCCCTGGCTGTCACTGTACACGACTTCATATCCACGTTAGCCCGCCCAGCCTGGAAAGCTCCAGAGGAATCCCTGCACTGGCTGAACGTGCCCAGACTCACGCGGCTCCCTGGGAGGCTCTGAGACATTTGTGACTTGTTGTTGGCACCTTTCATGGGAATGTTCCACCCTTGGAAGTTCACAGTTTCGCAGCTATTCCCTGGTAATGAGTTAGAACGAACGAAAGCACACGGGGTCTTTCTGTTGGCACTGGCGCTGACGTTCGTGGACCAGGTCGTGTCGATTGGCAGGGGCGCTGTGGTTTTCCGCTGCCTGTCTACGGTAAAATCTTGTTTTTCTTGGCAGCTGCCGTGGCTCACTTGCTGTGGCTGACTGTTGGAGATCCTCTCCACGCTGTCACATACCTGGTAGAGCAGGGCATCGTCGTCCCCATCGCCCCATAAGCTGTCTGAAATGTCTTTAGTAGAGTCCACAGCAACACCAGCCACACTCTGATTGTCAGCAATCTTGTCAGGTTGAGGAGTAGCCAGTGTCTCTGTGGCAACAGATTTCTGCGATTTAGGTTGTGCAACAGTAGAGCTGGAGCTGGAAACCTGTTTGGTGGCCGACTCCGGCTGGAAGTGATGGTTGGACTTGAGCTTGAAAGTGCTTCGGTTGGTAGTCTTTACTTTGGGACACAGTTCTTGGAGCCCGCTGGGCTTCATGTATGAAGGAGCCGGCTTGCAAACAGAAGTCAAATTAGTAGTATTCATCTTAGTGTTAGACTGCAAAGTGGCGTTAGGTTTGTCTTGCTGATGCTGGTCAGAATTCTGGGTCATTGCCAGCATGAAAGAGTCATTCAGTAGGTCATCATTCTCCCAGTCGTCATCAAAGTCATCAAACTTGTTCCCACTGAAACTGCAGGATTCTTTTTCTCCGGCAGGTTGAGCAGCTGAACTGGACTTCTGAGACTGTCGGAGTTCAGCTGAGGCTGAAGTCTCAGGTTGGTCTTTTATTTCCTGTGAGTGGGCGGATGCTGCAGAGAACTGGCTTAGCGAGCCGCTAACTTTTTGAGTGGAGCAGTCAAACAGAGCGTGCAGCTCTGCCTCCACCTGATCCTTCGGGTCCTTCACGCTGCCGTGGAATGATGTCTCTCGTGATTTTACTTTTGACACATTCACACATTCATTGAGGTCACTGCTGAAAGTGTGGAGCTGCTCCGAAGTGTCCTTGTCTTGCTGCATGTTCTGGTCAAACTGCCTGGCCAGTTTCATGAGGTCTTCTACACTGCTCTGCCTGTGAAGGGGAAAGAACAGAGAGGTAAGAGCCACAATAAGAAATACAACAGATCCAACATTAATCCGAGTGTATCCGGATCAGTAAATTGATGACACACCGAGTAGACTTCTTCCTGATTCTTGGCAGGGGAATCTCTGGTGTGGAAGGGACGGCACTGTCACCGATCCACTGCAGCAGAATGGATTCTGTTGTTTTAGGTTTTACATCCTGCGTAACACACAAGCACAAAGTAAAAAAAACTTTAAACCTTTAAGGAACAAACAGGAAGGAGTTAGAAACTATTCATAGTATTTCTTATTTACTTTAACCATGAACATTCAACACGACATCTGAACATGTCAACTCCTAGGTTAGTAAAATGCTGGAGGAACAACTGACCTTTGGAGCAATCCGGTTGACAATATCCGATATTTCCACAACTCTGGTGCTCCTGACCCCCGAGCCTAGAGATAAACAATTTCAAATACAAATTATAATACGTCCACCACTAAAAGCGGAGTAGATTACATATGATAACTGTTCATTTTCACTGTAAAGTCACAGTAAAACCTTGGTTTGTAATTTACTTCTGAAAAACATTGGTCCTGCACACAGATATAAATGCATAAAGAGGAAACATGTGAATCCTGTGTCGAGTAGAAGAAAACTTTACCCGTGTGAGTTTGAGTGGGGGATGTGGAATCCCAGAAAATATCTTGTGACGCTTCCCCGTCACCTGGAGAATCCCCATTATTCAAGCCGGAGAATCTGCTGTAGCCTCTGCGAATAGGACTCTGCAAATCTGTGTCGGACAAAGATTTATCAGCTGAATGAAAACATGTCGTAACAGTACATTCAATGTGATACTTGATTAGACGAGTATAAACAGTACACGTGCTTGTGATGTGTCACACCAAGAAATATCATGAGATGTAGGATTTATAAAAACTGTTTGATGATAATACTGATGATAGAAGCCATTAATATGACTTGAATGTAATGTAACTAAAATGAAGGAAGTGGATAAATACAATTGAACATTAGAGTAATCAAATATAAAACACAGGTTTCAAATAAGCCAGAGTGTAAAAATCTCTGTTATAAAGTGGTTTGAAAGTTAAGGGGAAGCTCAGACCACGTGTTGAGTAAAAGCAGGTTTATAACAATGTGTTTTTAAGAGTTCATTACAGTATTTTAAGCGAAACGAGTGATTTTAAGGAGGAGAAGCAGCGGGTCAGTCTCACTCCTCTCCTGCGGGACTTGGCTCCACAGGCCTGGGTCCCCCTGACAGGGAACACTCGGTCCCGATCGTGACGTTAAACCGGATTCCTCGGTAGTTTTCATGTGACGGGGCCGCAGCCTCACCTCTACACACCGCTGCTGGTGCGTCGGTACCAGGCATCTGCTGGGCCGGTGTCCTCTCCGGAGTTGTTCGGTGATAAAGTGTGGAAACGCTCCTCCACAGCTCCGTGAACTGCACAGATCCGGAGGCGGCAGCTTGTGGCATCGGCTCTCGAACGCTTCACTTTAACGACGCGATCTCAAACTTATTGTTGTGTTCGTTTCAGTCGCTGCGGGCCGCCATGTTGCCTGGTGACGTCAGCGGACTACGGATGCCGCGCAGGGTTTCGTCGCAGTTCGCTCGAAACAAACGCGCCTGAGAAGAAGCGAAGCTGAGCCGGATGAAGCTTCATCTGTAAATAACATGAAACTGTGGCGTTTAATTAGTTTTATATCTAACAGAACATGTTCAGTGTGTCTGTTGGTTTGATGTATTCTGTTTATCTGTCAGAATCTAGAGCTGCTTTCACACGTAAACGACACGAAATGAAAAAAAAATCAAAAACAGTGTGTATGGATTTCACCTAATTAACTTTATTTCAGACCTTAATACAAACAAACAGTAATGATTCACCGTAATCATATTTACATGCAAGCAAAAATAAAAACATGAAAATAAATAAAAGAGCAATAAATAAAGGAAACATAATACACAGAGGAAAATACTCGTTCCTCTACTGTGAAAGGCAAATGTGGAGTTCATGTCTGAAAGTGGATATTGTGAGAGCAGGTGTTAGTCAAGAACAAACAAGATCATGATAACTGTCTGAAAAGGAAATCATTTAAAACAGAACATAAGAAAAAATACAAATAAATGAAGAAAAAATGTAGTAGATATCTAAGATGTGTGATCACCTGACTAAAACTCTCATCAAATGTTTTAGGACTCAACCAAGTGACCAGACCAACACCTGTGACAAGGGGGGGATTGTGTTTGGGGTGTTATGTCTCTTTTCTCTAAGAAAAGAGACATAACACTCTCTCTCTCACACACACACAAACATATATATATATATATATATATATATATATATATATATATATATATATACACACTGACCGATTGAATCATTTTAAAACAAACAATACAATGTCTTAAACCCCAAACACAACCCCCCCCCCCTTGTCACAGGTGTTGGTCTGGTCCATTTAGTGCCTCTGTATTTAAACAAGCTCCGCCCTTACCCCCCTGTTTTGTCCAAACCAGGAAGTAGAGCTGCTGCAGGAACAAGGTAACTCAAACACACGAGGAATTCATTCATACAACTAACAATGACAAAACAGCGTTTATCAAAGAAACAGTTTAATGTGCAGTGTAATGTCAAAATGTGACAAATCTAGAAAAACTCATAGACTGCTGGGTGGTTTTTTTGGGCCTGTATTGAGTTTTCAAAAGTAAACACGGAAAAACTAAATCTGTATCGTCAAATTGTCGATTTGTAAACTTTCTCCTCAATCTGGAAACCTCATGAAATACAGACATTAAATGTGAACTTGTATTTCTCTTGGCTGGTTTCAAGCAGTTCAGCTAACATGATGTCAGACAGCCTGGTTCTAACATGTAGGTCTTCTACTCAAATGTTTGCCAAGTAATTGTGATCAGGCTTCGTTGGGCCTGAAGCTTGTTTGTTTGTGAAATCCTTGTGACGGTGGCTGTTTGTTGTGGATTTCATGGCTATTGTCAAACAAATCTATAAGACGTTTCACAAATGTTTGTGATGTGACTGATATACATTTGCAGGCACATGTCACATTACATGGTGTTTTGCAGAACTGCCTCAAAACTCTGCTGAGGTTGTGTCTGCAACCAGTTTACATTTATGAACGTCAGACTGGTTCTGTGCTGTCGTCTACAGTCAGTGTTACATTTAATAAAAATCAGACTGACTTGAGGCTTTACGTTTCTATATCACACTTGTATAAGTTTCATATTGGACCATAAGCAACTTGTAAACCTCCTCTGCTATATAAACTAGTACTTCAGTGCACTTACAGGGTTAGTGAGTCAACAAGGCTCTTTTTTGTGCTAAGACGGCTGATGGGTCGCAGGCTTATCTTTTGTTTCAGTGTGTTTAGGGAGTGAACTTCAATGTTGAAATCCGAGTCTAAAATACATTTACACTTGTAATTAAAACACATTTGTCAAATGTGACATCAAGGTCTGAGCTGTCCGAACACACACTCTCTGTCTACACTGTTTTTATGACCTTTTAAATGAGTCTCTTTCATTTTGAATTAACTTGGATTTGTCTTGATCGTGGCAACTTTTTATCCTCACTTGTTTTCTCTCATACTTCACATATGAGGGATTTATTTTGTGTTCTTTGAACATCAGAGAGCTTAATGCAGAGCTGATCAAGATCTGCTCTTACTTCAGAAACATCCTTATTTTACATATTATTTTACAATAACAACAGTTTTCGTTTCCTTTAGTTAGAGGATTGGGCTGTTCAGGCAAACTGTGTTTATAACTGAGGGGTCAGAGGTCATAGTTGTCAACAAGTAAAGATTCAAAATGTGATCAGTCATTGTGTATTTGACTTTTTTTCATTTATGCAGATTTGTTGAATTTCATGGGTGAAAAGGTTATTTTAATAAAGTCTCACTATGTGATTTAAAAAAAGAACCATAATTCCACAGTGAGGACGTGAGATGTTAATGTCAAATACATTTTTCCTAAATGAAAAGAACTGAAGATTTAAGATTGTTCATCACAATCCTGACGTTCTGCAGAGCAATTTCTAGAATAAAGCACTAGATGGTGCTTGTATACCTCCTTTGTATTGTGTGTGTGTGTGTGTGTGTGTGTGTGTGTGTGTGTGTGTGTGTGTGAGTGAGAGAGTGTGTGTGTATGTGAGTGAGTGAGTGTGTGCGCGTGGAGAGAAAGATAGATACAGTAAGTAAAGTTGGTGTAGATTGAGTGCGGAGAGATTTTGTGTAGAAAATGTTTTACTGAGGTGCTGTGCTGCAGGAATAGTATTTTGTAGTTGATACACACACACACACACACACACACACACACTGCTGCAGTGCATTACTGTGCTTGATTATACTTCATTCTGCTTTGATTGTTTTCATTTGGAAGTAGTTTATCAATAAAGAGAATTGGGGGAAGCCAATCATCCGTCTGTCTTTGATTGAACGCCAGAAACTGTTGCGATCAGACGACCTGCAGTCGCAGCCTCCACTTCCCTGGTTAAAGCGTAATTCTTGTTTCATCAAAACATCAGGAGATATTTAACCACTGCTAACGATAAATGGATGCGAGCTGAGGGCAACTGCAACATGTGTCATCTTTCAGTGAAACTCATTCAACGTGTAGTGAATCAAAAGCATCATTGTTGCAGGAAGGAAATATGGAAAATAAGACATTCACAAAAACATTCAGGTGCACCAGATCCGTCAAATAGATATAAATATACTAATGTTTTTGTGGTGGTCGTGCAAGAAAAAATACAGATGTTTCACATTCAAAACGCAGTCAAATAACCAGCGGATCAGAAAATAAACTGAAAAATAACAAGTGTTGTAACAGTGATATAAAAATGTTGAGTTTTAGTGCATAGTTGTCTTTGAGATGTTGTTTGATCATTAGTTTTCCTGACCTGAGTTAAACTCTGTATCAAAAACATAAACACACATTTGATATGGATGGTTTCAGTTAGAGCATATCACTTATTAAAGACATGAAAGAAATAAGAAATGAAAAACAGCTCCCCTAACAAACCAAAAGCTCTTTAAATCACAGAGATATAAAACAGGGGAGCAGCATTTCCTCACAGTAGAAACCAGAACTTAAATATCTGCACTTCTGCTTGATAAATAACTTTAAAAATATATGTTTTTGTCAGTTAACACTGTCTTAAAGAATACATTAATTTACCAATCGTTAAAGCTCTCTGTAGTGAAGCAATATGTGTCAGACAGTGTATTTATCCTATAGACCATTGTCATGTCAGTGGCGTAGCTGTTGTCAGTGTTAAAGAGGTTAAGTGGAACCGCCAGTACGTCTGTACCAGCGATTTAATCAACACCTACGTTTCATGCCTCCCTTTAATGCATTCAGCTAATCTTGGGGGTATCCCCATTGCTCTGTCAAGCGAGCTGTGTCATATCACGCTGCCACGCAAATCCACGCCCGGAGGGGCGCCGTCTCGCTCCCGTCTAAAAGTCACCATAACACCCTCTGTCACACCGAATGTTGGCATTACTCAGAAGTGATAGTTAGACCACAGAATAAAGGGCATGGATGTGTCACTTTCAATTTGAATATGAGGCATCAGTCCTCCACGGCCTTGCGTTTTTAGCCTCTCTGTCTTTCCTCCTCCGCTGCGAGCCTTTCCAAGCTTGTGTCACAGCAGGAAAAAAACACTGCCAGAGGCTGAGCAGGGACGGGAGAGAAGGAACAGTTTAGCCTGCGCTCTCCGAGCTAGCTCCATTCTTTCCCAGAAGCCTGCCTCCTCGTCTAACTGCCTACCACCTCCTTCTATTTATTGGTTACGCCTGGGTTGTTTAGAAGCAATTAAGGAGCTAATTGTGGAAATTTCTGAGGACTGGGTATTATAGTAAAAAGTAAAGAGCTAATGGCTAATTGCCCAAGCAGCTGCTAGTGTTTATGAAGGAGGAGCGAACATGCCAGGGGATCTGACAGGCGTCGACAGCCATGAGGACAAGGAAGCGTTTGTGTGTGTGTGTGAGTTTAGGGGGTGGGTTGCTCATCATTGCTGTGGATCCCAGGGACAGTTCACACTGGGCAGATGCCAGGTGAATGAGACAGGCAGGAGAACATGGAGCTGATCTCAGAGTAGCGTCGGCATAAATGATAATCACCTCTGACGGCCTCTGGTGCTCCGTCTCCAAGGAGTGCGAAGCGTCCTCCACGTTTGTAGGTGAAGGGTATATCCCAATGTTTATGCCACCTCCATCCTCCTGACACCCCCTACCCACACTCCTGCTCAGACCCCCTTTGGGCTGGCAGGGCCTCATGGATGACAGTTAGCATGTGGCAGAGCTCTCTGAAGTGGAAGCGTTCCAGGATGCTGGGTTTCTGTGCCAGCTTCACCAAGCTGGGATTTCACCCATTTCACAGTGTCTGCCAATGGCTGGGACTGTGAATGAAAGCACTTGAATGGATGCCTGCTTCTGCCGGGTCAGATCAGTGGGTTTCAGCAGTGGGTAGATGCAGCCTAGGGTGGTTTGGCGTCTCTCTGAAAGAATCCCAGCAGTCTTTTCTGGTCACATGGGCAGGGAGGGGAAGTGCTAAAGGGCGTCCAACTGCGCTCTCAATCAGCAGTGGATGTATGAGA